ACGTTTTGGCAAGCACATAAAAAAGGGCCTGCTAAAAAATAAAGAGCATTTTTTTTTTTTAATTTTTTATTTTTATGAAATACTTTTATGGAAGCACTTTTATGCATTAAATGTTTAGAATTTAAATGAAAAATTTGTTTCACCATTTTTTAATGTAATTGTTTTTTTTAGAACTAATTGTAAACAACTTGTTTTTTTTATTATTTTTTTGCTGTTTTTATTTTAATTATTCTAGTTTAAAACTTAAACTTTTAGAATAATAGAACAAAACAGAATTTAATATAAAATAAAACAAATTCAAATAATAAATAACAAAACAAACAATGTTATAGAATGTATACATTCAAAACCGAAATTAAATATTTATATAATATTTTTTTTTAATTCTAAATTATACTTCTAATAAATTGTAAAACTAAAATCTACAAAGAAAAACAAATTTTATTACTCACAAAGGCTTTAACTTTCTTCATGCAGTGTTTACATCAGGTTACAAACCTGACCTAATGTAATTAGAATTAACAAACTAATCATATTTATTTTGAAAAAATGGTGAAGAGATTTGTGTCACCAGAATATCAAAATGCTTATAATAATTTTAGTTTTTATAATTTATAAGAGTTTAGGATTACTCCTAATATTAAATTTTTTTTATAGTAAAAAATTGTAATAAGTGTTCATTTATTTTTTCTTTAAATTTAAAAGTGCTTGTTTATTATGTCATGATTTCTTTTTTTCTTTTTTTTTTTGAAGCATGTTTTAGTTTCTTTTTTTTATAATGCAATCAGGGATGGAATGAAATTTAAATTCTTTATGTCCTGAAATGAAATGAATGAAATTTAAATTCTTAATATCCTGAAATGAAATGAATGAAATTTAAATTCTTAATATCCTGAAATGAATGAAATTTAAATTCCTAATATCCTGAAATGAAATGAATGAAATTTAAATTCTTAATATCCTGAAATGAAATGAATGAAATTTAAATTCTTAGATTAATTCCAAAATGTAGTATTAAAATAAAATGTGTTAATTTAAAAATGATAAAAATACTTTTGTCAGGATTTTTGTTTCCTAAAACCTTTAAGCTTTCAAAACTTTAAATTCCAGAGTTATCAAAGTTAAGTCCAAAGTAATCATATTGTTAAAAATAACAATGTATTTACTTTAGATGTCTTGAGTGTCTAATGTATACATTATTTACAGATTATAGATTTCAACATATTGATAATATCTTCAACATATCAGTAATAGATAAAATGATTAGAAATAAAAAATATAAAAGAATAAAAAATACAATTTTATTATTATTATTTTTTTATAAATGTAATAAAATTATATATATATATATATATATATATATATATATATATATATATATATATACATATATATATATATATATATATATATATATATATATATATATATATATATATATATATATATATATATATATAGATAGATAGATAGATAGATAGATAGATAGATAGATAGATAGATAGATAGAAAGATAGATAGATAGATAGATAGAAAAAAAAAAACTTTTAATGGCACAATAAGTTTCATGCCTATATGGAATCATCAGCCATGTACTATATCAAAAACAAACAAAAAAACCATTGATAAAATTACAAAATACAGTGGAGCGACATCTGACGTCTCTATAGAGACAAAACAAGAAAACGTCAAAGAAAATTATATTTTAATCAGCTAATCGCCAGTATCATAAAACAAAAAAAGAAATTTGTTTTTATGTCTACAATTTGAAACCAACTTGTTCCTTTTGTTCAACAGGTTTCCCCTGTATGTGTTAAAATATAAAACTTTTCATTAAGACAAAGCTTGGTAATTTTGGACAATTTTTTATGTTTGGCAGCGCTTGATAATTTTCCACTTAATAACAAACAAAAAGTTTTCTTTGAAGTTTCCAAATTTCTTTATATAATACTGCATCATTGCTGTACTTAATTGAATTAAAAGGTTTTAAATAGTTTGCATATCTTAACTTAAAAGGGGTCTCACTAACGGGTTATGCATAAGTCTTTGAACTTTTTTTATAGAGTCGTAAAAAACTATTGTTAGTTAGATAAAAAAATGAAACTATATGGTAATAAAGAACATTCATTCTAGTATTTATTAATATATTTAACATATTGAATAGAGGCCTCTATCAGCGATTTTTCTAAGTTTTGTTTTAACACTCATCATTAGTCTTTGTAACGGATCATTTTCTTTTATTTTTCGTTAATTTGCTCTTTATTTTTCGAACTAGTTAATATATGCTACGTGCTCTCCAACCATCACTGTATACCATCTGACTTAAAATAGCCCAAAATGTTTCAATTGGTCTAGCCTGTGGAACATTTGGTGGAATAGTGCATTTTTGTACAAATTCTATGGAGTTATCAATAAACCAATTTTCTGTTTTATTAGCATAATGAGCAGTTGCAAGATCTGGCCAAAACACAAAATTATTATCTTTATGATGTTCTCAAACAAATGGTATAAGTCTTTTTTTCATACATTCTTTCACATATATATATTGGATGTTATTGAATTCTTTGATCTATGTATATAAGGTTCACAAAATCCATTTGAAGAAATGCAAATCCAAAACAATACCTTTTCTTCTAATTTTTTTTTCAACTTGTATTTTACATTATCAGGGGCTAATAATTTATTATTTGTACAATATATATCATTTCCAGGTATATTTTAGTTTGATAGGTTAAAATATTTTTCGTCATCCATGTTTATATCTTTTCATGGAATACTTTATTAACTAATCTTCTTGATGATGTTGCTGCTCTCTGTTGTTGATCTTTTTCATACAAAAGTGCTTTTTGTTTTTTGTAGCATTTAATATCTGTTTTGAAATTAATAGTTCTTGAAATTTTGCTTTGGTTCACCTTAAAATATGAAGCTAAATACTTTTGACTAATACCAGTTGAATTATTTAGCATTTTAGTCAATCGTTTGACTTTTTTCTTATCCATTTTTGGAGGACAACCTGATCTAACCAAGTCATTATACACACCATACTTCTCATACCTTGCAAGAATACTAAATATAGTTGACTTTGGTATTCCTTCATTTTTAAAATGTTTGTATGTTAATTTCTTTTTATCACTTGAACGATTTTTATAGAACAATACAATTCGTTTTGTGAGGGCTTCTTGATCAGGGAATCTGATTTGCTGATTAGGGAATCTGATTTGCTGATTTATAAACAATTTTCTTTGATGTTTTCTTGTTTTGTCTTCATAGAGACGTCAGATGTCGCTCCACTGTATTTTGCAGAGGTGGAAAAGTAAAAAAAAATTGTACTCAAGTAAAAGTACTGTTACTTGAGTGAAATTTTACTCAAGTACAAATAAAAGTTACTGGTCAAAAAATTTACTCAAGTAAAAGTAAGAAGTAGCTTATTTACTCAAGTAAAAGTAAGAAGTAGCTTATTAAAAATGTACTCAGAGTAAAAGTTTTAACAGCTCATCAGATAAAAAAGCTGTTGAGTTAAAAAACAAAAATCACGTAATCTATTCTTTTCTGTATAAAATTTTTTTTTTGCGCAGAAACTTTTTTTACGGTCGTAAAAAGTGAAAAGAAATCAAGCTAAAGCAGTTAAAAGTTGTTATAAGTGCGCTTAACTTTTTTTTTTCAAACTATTTAAAAGTGTCATTTTTATTAAAGTGAGCAAACTTGAAAAAATAGATAAATTAAATCATAGTATTTGTGAAATTAAACAATACATAAGTTTTTTTACTTAGTAATGCATATAATTTCAAAAGTAGCGAAATACAATACAATACTTTAGAAAAAAAATACTTAAGTAAAAGTAAAAGTACACATTTAAAAAAATACTTAAAAAGTTGATTCTCAAAATAACTACTCAATTAAAGTAACATGAGTAAATGTAACTCGTTACTTTCCATTTCTGGTATTTTGTAATTTTATTAACAGTTTTTTGTTTGTTTTTGATATAGTACATGGCTGATAATAGCTGTATAGGCAAGAAACTCATAGTCCCTTGAAAAGTTGTTTTTCTCTATGTAAGTAAATATAAATATAGTTTATATATATATATATATATATATATATATATATATATATATATATATATATATATATATATATATATATATATATATATATATATATATTGATATTTTAGGTTGTTTTGTATTATAATAATAAAACAAAACTCATAGTCGAAAAAGAGTGCTCAATATTAAAAAGATATTTCAAATAGAGTGATATACATATATATATTAACAAAGAAAAAACCACTTTTTCTATGGTACTTTAAGTTTCATGCCTATATGGCAATCATCAGCCATTAAATACAAATCAAAAACAAAAAACCCGCTGAAAATTACAAAATACTGTGTAGTGGAATCTTAATGTCGCTAAGACACACTTGATGGCAACCAAAGAAAAAACAAAATATCAGCTAATCACCGGTGTCAAAAAAAGATAAAAGGAATTTATATATATATATATATATATATATATATATATATATATATATATATATATATATATATAGATATATACACACACCAAAATAGAGTTTTGTATTATTATTGTAATACAACATTAATTATCATTTGATATATATATATATATATATATATATATATATATATATATATATATATATCATACATACATACATACATACATACATACATACATACATACATACATACATACATACATACATACATACATACATACATACATACATACATACATGCATGCATGCATGCATGCATGCACACACACACACACACACACACACACACACACACACACACACATATATATATATATATATATATATATATATATATATATATATATATATATATATATATATATATGTATATATATATATATATATATATAGTATAAAATGTTTTGATCTACAATACAGTTTTACTGTGTTTTGTTTGTTTGCCTAATAAAAAACTTGAAGCATTGCAATTTTTTTACAGTCTGGTTGCTTAAAAAAACAATACAGAAGGTAGTCCTCATAATTACATCACTGGAAACAAATGAAGATATAGAAAAATGGCAGTTTAAAATTGAGTGTAATCAAACAGCAGATGAATCAACGTAACATTTTTATATAGCTTTCAAATTCTAAACTTAGTGTTATAGTAGGGTGTAAGAAGTAAGGTGCAAGTAGTAATATGAACAGTTTTTCATTGCCCTGAGATTGTAAATTTTATCTTGTAAGTTTTATCGTTTGCCCTGAGGATGTAAACTTTTTAAAAGCGTAGTAGTTACTCCTTTTTTATTTGTATATACAATAATATTTATCAAGTTACTTTCTTCTTTAAAAAAATAAGTTTTTCAATAACTTACACAATACTTTTAAAATTTTTTATTTAAACCCTTTTTTTTAAATGCACAATTATTTTTTTAATGCATAATTATTTTTTTAATGCATAGTTATTTTTTTAATGCATGATTAGATGAATTTTAGTCATCTTATATTTCGATAGTTTTACAAGATATCTCAAAAAAATATTATTTAAAAAATATAAAATTAGTAATACATTATACAGTATATACATTCCAAAATGTCATTAAAGCTGAAAAAGCATAGCTGAAAAGGGTTGAATTATAAAGTTTTTAAAGATGTTTTTTTTCTATTTTTAATAAACAAAAAAGTAAAGTTTTGAAAAAAAATTTAAGTAATACAAGATGGAATTTTAGGGCAGCTTACTCATCTATTTAGATTTTTTTTTGCCTAAAAATTTTTTAAGTATTTTTAAATATACTATTTATTAATATAATTATTTTATTTATAATATATGTATAAATACAATTATTGTATTTATAATTAATTCATTCTTACCTTAAGGTATTTCTACTTTTGTAATCATGTTTGAAATATTTATTTGTTGTTATTTATACTATACTTATATTTATACTATTTATACTAAACTAATTATTTGTACTTAATATTTATATTATATACAATAATTATATATACTATATATATTTAAACTATAATTATCATTTCTAATTATTTACTCTTTACTTAAACTATATAAACTATGTATTATTATATAATAGCATATATTTATGCATATATTATTATATAATATATAATATATGCATAAGTAGTAATACATTGAAGTCATCGACTATTTTTTTTACTCTGTTTTATAAAACAAAATTAATTTTTTGGTTAGGTTCTCATTTCCATAAAATTTCATAAATAAAAAATTCCAAATAAAATATTGAATATAAAATTTAATATAAATTGCACACAAAATTCTATATAAAACAAAGGAACAGGCTTACCAAAAATATGTGATCCTAGCATATATTTCAGAAAAATAAAAAAATGTATATACTACCTCCTCAAACAATGAATGTAATGAAGACTATGTCTATTTCAATATGATGTAGTCTGTGGGGTTTTATGCCAACCTAACTAGGCAGCATATATATATATATATATATATATATATATATATATATATATATATATATATATATATATATATATATATATTTAAGAATTCACTTATGTGTCTGGAAACTTGGTTTGAATCCACAGACTAATCTTGTATGTGTTTTCATATAGCCCCACTTCACTTTATCACCTTTCTCTTCGTTCTATATTGTTCTCCTTTGTCTTAAGACTGCACTTTTTTCGAAACAGCACTTGTTTTCCAGACAATCCAAATCATTTACCTTCTTTACTCGACTTGTGTCTTGTTTCTGATCCTAGTCAGTGCTCAGTTTCTCCACATTCAACCTTAGATAATTCTGACTACGATTTGATCTCTCCAAAACTATTATTTCTTTTATTTTTCATCATCAGAATTCCCCTATTATTGCACCTCTTACAACTACCTTAAAGCTGACTGGGACTCTTTGTGATTTTCTATGTGGTGGCCATTGGTTTGAAATCTTTCGCCTTTTTGCAGACAAATGTACTTCTAATATAAGTTCTTGGATTTAGGCTGGCATGGAATTTATCATTCCCTTTCAACAATTCCAAGTCAAGCCTTACTCTTCTCCGTGATTTTCTTTTTATTGGGCTGCTTCAATTTCCAATCGTAACCATTACTTCCATATCTGTTGCCAAAGCAGTTCTTTAGAAAACAGATGTTTGTTTACTATTGCTAGAAACCATTGAAAAACTGTTTTGTCTAAATAATATTTGCATAAAATCTTGTATTTCATCCTAAAAATTAAGGTCCAGAGACTTCTAGAGAATTTTTAACAGTGTTAATAATTAGACCAAATCTGTTATTCCAACTCTCCTGCATGGTTCAGATTTTGTTACCTCATTTCCTACTTATATTTTTCTATAGCTTGTAGTCCGGACAACATACCTGTTATAGTCTTGTAGAAGTGTTCTCCAGGGTTGTTGTCTATACTTTCAAAACTATTTAACAAGTGCTTATCAGAGTCTTGTTTTCCAGCCTGCTGGAAAATGGCATCTGTTATCCCTATTTTCAAAAATTCTGGAGATTAATCTGACTTGTTTAACTATCATCCGATCAGTCTTCTTCCTATCATAAGCAAGGTTTTTGAATCTTTAATTAACAAACAAGTAATCTCTCATCTTGAAATTAATAATTTACTTTCTGATCATCAATACAGATTTTGATCTTCTCGTTCTATTGCTGATTTGTTAAAGATAATAACTGATAGCTTTTATTGTACATTAAATAGATGTGGAGAGGTTAAGGCTATTGCTCTTGACATTTCTAAAGTCATTGATAATGTTTGGAATGCTGGTCCTTTCCATAAGCTTTCTTCTTATGGTGTATCAGGTAACATCTTTAAGATTATTGAATCCTTCCTTTTCAATTGTAGCATAAAAGTTTTCCTTGATAGAAAGCACTCTTCTTCATTTCCTGCTACTTGTAGATGGATTTCTAGAAAAGCTTGTTTTTAATTAGTTATAAGTGGCAGTAAGTCGTGAATAAAACTATTCAGAAGATTGCCTCTTCAAGTATATTCCTCCCATTTAGGAAGTTAAAAGGGTGCAAAGTTTGTGGATGGGTAGGGGGTTGCATTATATATGCTTTATTATTTTTTCACATTTTTTTTATCTATTATAATATTCCTGCATAAAGATTGAGGATTTTTAAATATTTAAAAAAACAAACAATTAAGACTTTTTTAAAGCCATAGATTTTAAATTTTAATGATTTTAATTTATAATAGATTTAAATTTTGTGATAAAAATTAATTTAAAGTAAACAACTGATGATGATGGTAATGATGATGATGATGATGATGATGATGATGATGATGATGATGATGATGATGATGATGATGATGATGATGATGATGATGATGATGATCAAAGTTATAGAACTCCGAGAAGATTTGTAACTTTTCCCTTTTTAGTATTGTATTGTCAATGAAGAGGTTGGGCAGTGTATTTGGTAAACATTTTATTCTGGATGTTGGGTAAAAAAGTGTCCATTTTGTTTTATTAATATTAAGGAATAATTTGTTTTTCAAACAAATTGAATGTGTTCAAAGGTGCATCTCCAAATAGAAAGTTTTTAAAATGCATAAGAAATTAGATGGTGGCTCAGGAAAAAACATTATAATTACACCCATATTCCACATGTACCATGATTTACATCCAGAACCAGTAGTTCTGGTTCTGGATATAAATCACGGTACATGTGGAATAGTGGATTTTTTCTTCTTTGGAATCATATCTCAACATTTTATAATTCCGATTTAGAAAAAGGTTTAAAACTTGTTCCTAAACTAACAAGCGATAATAAAAACACCGTATTCTGTAATGAGAGTATGACTTGCATCCCAAGTATTGAGCGAAACAGTCGGAAATGTTTTAAAGCAGTTTGGACCACCAGAAGCTGCTGGAACAGCAGAATTTTGTTTAATGATGAATTTTGTTTAATTTTGTTTAATTTTGATTGTCTAAATGTAAAAAATAGTGCTGAATATATAACAAAAAGAATGTTATTTTTAAAACCATATGAAACAGTAGATGATTCACGATTTACTTGGTTATATAACTTTCTCCTATACTTTAAATTGTGGAAAGAATCTATAGATCAACGAAAAGGAAATTTTGATGAGAGCTCAAAATCAAAATTGTTTATTTCTTCACAAACTTATGAAGGTTTGCAAATTACAGTGCATTCATTCAAAGAAGTTGTTAAATTTTTACTTGAAAATGGTGTTCAATTTGTTTTTTCTGAGAGATTCTGCCAAGATGACCTTGAAAACTATTTTGATAGACAACGTACAATTGGTTGCAGAAAAGATAATCCATCTATCAGAGATTTTGGCTACAACAACAATACAATCAAGTTGCAGTTTTCAATTCGTCCAATTAATGGTAATGTTCAATCTAACATTAATAATATCATAGATATTGAAAATAATCCTTTACCAAAAAGAAAAAGAAGGTCGTTAATTCAAATTAAAAGCCAACATTAAGCTCTTCATTTTCACATTTATTGATTAAAGAAAGGTTATTTTCATAACCACAAAATGTTAAAAGCATTATTTGTCATGACATTATGATGACATTATGACAAATCAGTCGGCCAATATAGACTATTTGGACAAGTCAGCCGCAGTGGCACATACAAAGGGGGGTGGAGGGGTAACTACTTCTAAGAAATTTCAAGCTTCAAAATATTATTGATACAATTAAAAAATTTAATAAAAAACACTGGATCAAGGAGGGGGCCTAGGGGGACTATAACCCCGGGCCCCGCAAATTTGGGGGCCCCCAAAATTTTTTGAGAACTTTTTTTTTTTAAGTCACTTTTAGGCTCTGGCTCATAAAAAAGCCTCCAAAAACAACAATAGCTCCAAAAAGTTTTAATCCGTCACTACTAGGAGGGCTAGACTTACCCCCTTTAAGGGGAGTAAGCCCCCTCTCCCCTCATAAGAACTTCAAACTATTAACGAAAAAATTAAAAAAAAAATTTGAAAGTAAAAGTTAAGTTTTATGCGTCATTTAAAACGAGAAAATCAAAAAGATCCACGAATGTACAACCAATTTTCAAACAACAATTCAAATTTCTTCCAACAAATTAAATTTAAATTTGAACGTCTATTATTATAGATGTGCTCAAAGCACATCAATGTTTTTGGCGAAATTGGAAATGGAGAGCTAACTTAGGCCATTTAATAAGTTACTTATTAAATGATAATCTTCTTGTGGCAGTGTACTGTTAAGGTGCTCTAAAAAGCCATTAGGTCTGCTTGGGGCACCTTAATAGATTTAAAAAAAAAAATCCAGGGAAACCAAACCGCCCCACCTTTTTTTCACCTACGAATTTGTAAGTTCCTAAATATCAAAGAAACTGATGACCTTTTATTTTAGTTGACCAAATATGGTTTCCCCCTCCCCCAACCTTAAAAAACCCTGACATTGCTGTATTGGGGTTCTACCAAAAAAGAGGGTACTCTTCAATAAACTAGGGGATTTTTAAGAATAATAAAACGACGATCTTATACACTTCTTCGCTCCTTTACAAGAGGTGTTGGCAGTATACTTTTTTTGGGTTTGGGGCTATTAATGTTTTAGAAGTTTTTTTATGTGCCAGAGGCTAAAATGTCTACAAAAAAAGTCCTTTATAATATTTTATACACCCTAAATTTTGGGGCTCGGGTCAATATGCAGCAGTGTTGTAGTGGTAAGAGCGCTCGCTTTGTATGCGAGAGGTTTGGAGTTCAACATTTAGAGTACCGCGTTCAACTTAACTTCTCCGCGCAGCGGTCTTGCTTGTCAAGGTTTGTGTTTCGGAGTTAAAGAGAGTTGAGAGTTAAAGAGAGTTAAGAGAGGGTTGTACCACAATTTAAAAAAAAATAAAATAAAATAAACACAAAAAATTAGTAGCCTCCTCGGCTGTAGTGGCCCCGTCGTGCCTTGGAAGGGTGAATAACTAAAAAAAAAAAATAGCCCCCTCCCTTAATCCGCCACTGGGTGTTTGAAATGAACTTGAAAATAAAATAACCGATTTTAATACATTTAATTGAAATAATAAACTAATCAAGAAAAAGGAAAAAAATTATATTGATTGATCCACACAATGATGGAACAACGCATGACATAGATAGATAATAACATTTTTAAAATCGAGCAAAGAAAAATTACAGAATTTTTTAGGCGGGAGGAGGGGCGCAACCATGAAGGAAAAAAATATAAATTATTACCAGGTGGGTTAATATTTCATATTTGGTTAGTTATAGTTATTAGTGAACATTATATAAATATAGTTAATGTAACCATAATAGTGAACGTTAAGCTGTTGTAGTAGAAACAAATAAATTTGGTTAAAAAAAATAATTAATGCATGTTACTATCCAGTAACAGTATTTGATAAAATATTAAAGTTCAGTATTAAATAAACAATTGGTACAAAAAATAATTTTCAATAAAAAAATAATAAATTGCTGGGTAACACGTACACTTAATTAATAATTCAATAAATTTAATAACTGCATATATATAGTGTCAGGTTAGGTTATCTTAACATGCTGAAGTATATACAGTTAACTGTTTGTAATTGTTCAAAATGTAACAATGTAATTGTTCAAAATGTAACAACTGTTTGTAATTGTTCCTCGCTATATATGTATATATATATATATATATACATATATATATATACATATATATATATATATATATATATATATATATATATATATATATACATATATACATATATACATATATACATATATACATATATACATATATATATATATATATATATATATATATATATATATATATATATATATATATATATATATATATATATATATATATATATATATATTTAAATATTTAGATACTGATGTAAGTATAATTAAAGTTAGAAATAATTGACCCTAACCCTAATTTTATTAAAGGATCAACTTATTATATAAAGTAACTAGTAAGTAAATTTTTAAACAGAATTTATGTAGTTTATGTGCCATTAATGTTTTAAAAAGATATGTGGCTATGAAAATAGCCTTTTATATTCAATTTCAATTTCCTTCACTTGCTTTCTTAATTTCACATTGCAATGAACGAGTCTTACAAGATAATATAGTTATCTCTTGTTTATAAAGAGATAAAACAATATAATTTGTTGACATTGACTCAATTAGAGCTTCAGGATCTAGTTTTGAAGAAACTTGTGTTGTTTTTTTACGAAAAATAATCTTGCATGTTAGAAAAAGATCCTGAATTATATTGTTTACTTTCCACAAACCCCCTCTATCTCTAATATTTACAAGTGCCTGAGTATCATCTTCCATAACCCTGCAGCGAAGTAAAATTGAAACACACTGTTGGCTATACTTACATAAATTTTACTACTTTGAAATTTAGTATATAATCTCTGAAATAAATATCCAATAATATGTTGTAAACTCTTTTTTTCTATATCAGTTATTTCTTGAGTTGTACCTACAGATTCAATTATATTTGGGTTTATATCAGAAAGATTATTTAATATAATGGCAGACATTTCAGTGAGTAGTGTATTGCTCAAAGTTATATCACTAAAGTGTGAAGCTAGTAGATTTTTGCTCAGCAGTCTATAATACTCTTGATAAAATAAATCACTATTGCCTTTTAATTTTTCTATAATCGGTTTTAATTTTTGCCAAAGATGTTCAGCATCATCTATTGAATCACTCACATGAGAAATTGCTCACATGAGAAATTGCTCACATGAGAAATTTTTTCTAATATCAAATGGCAGACACATGCCCATTTCCAATAAACTAGCACATTCCTCAACTATGCTTTTTAGCTTTAGCGGTGACAATTTATTAGAAGAATTCTCCGTATCAGACATTTTTAAAGAACATTTTTCAAAACATTCAAAAATATGCTTCGATGCTATGTGTCTTTTTAAACCTCTAATTGTTTTGTATAGTTTAGAACACTGAGTGCATGCATGTTGTTTGACATCTCTATGAATATCAATATCAGAAACAACGGAATCTATATCTGTAACTAAGTTAATGTCATTATTCAAAAATCCTCCTTCAACCACGTCAAACAAACATTCCAAATCACTATTTGTCTTAAAATTGCTGCTTAAGCTTGCCATTATTGAAAACAATGGAAATGGTCCGTGTTTCCAGACTATGTATTCTTATGACTATGATAATACTGAATTAAATTACTGAAACAAATTACTGTAGTTAAATACTGGAATAACTTATGTTACAACAAAAAAAACTTCAATTATAATTACATATTGTTCATAATATTTCTTTTGTTTTATTTATGTTAAGTAATTAAGTTATGGTTCTCTAATTTTTAATTTTTTAATCATCATGTTATCAAAAATAGATAAAATGATTTGAAATTTTGAAATCGAAAATGATTTGCAATTTAAACAACAGTTTAATGCACTCATAATTTTGTTTTTGATAAAACATCCTTTTGATGTTGAATGTTTTGATAAAATATCCTTTTGATGTTGAATGTTTTGATAAAACATCCTTTTGTTTTGATCACAAATCTAGTTTTGTATTACTTTTAAAGGTTTGAAAAAAAAAGATTGCTTTGATTTGTAAAAATTAATTTGAAAAAAAAATGATATTTAGAAAAAATTTATAATTTGAAGGATTAGAACAATCTCCCGAGTTTTTTAAAATCACAAATGTCCAACTAGCAGAATAACAAGATTTGGTTAAACACTTGTAACAGCTGTTTATTTAAATTAAATTATTTGTTTAATTGATTTGTTTAATTAATTGTTTTAACTAAATTAATTTAGTTGTTGAATAATTTATAGAGTATAAAAGAGAGAACAGATTGCGGCAAAAAATCACTGTAAGATTGTAAGATTGCGGCAGAAAATCACAAGTTGTTGTTCTTGCAACTTGTTCCTAAAGTCAACAACAACAGTATTGGCTTAAGAATAACATTTTAGCATACAGTAACATTTGACTAAAAATAACATCAAAAAGAAGGCAAGATGGAGGTCAAGAGAATCTAAAAGAGGCAAGAATAATAGCATAAAAAACATGGAAAGAGGCAAGATGGAGAAACATAAAGAGAAAAGCGATTAACTAAAGTGAAAACACATAAAAGAAAAATCATAGGCTTTAAATCTGATTTGTATAATTAATTTAAAATGATTATAAAATTAAATCATTATAGTTTGTCATCTGATGGCTCATTAAAATAAGAGATGTTATATTTCTTGTCTTATTTCTGATCTTCTCCATAAGAGACAGTTTTTGAGGTTATTAAATCATTTTCTTCTAACTGTTTTATTAAAGTCATCCTTAAAGGCCAACACTCTTCTTCATTTCCAGTAACGTCTGGAGTACCTCAGGTTCAGATCCCATTTTTTTCTTATCTACATTAATGATCTTCCCGACAATCTTACATCTAAAGTAGCTCTTTTTGCTGATGACTCAACTTTATACTCCTATCTTAAAAAAACTCTTTCTTTTGTATAGCTTAGATCAGGCAGCCGGTCTTTAATTTGATCTCATTTCTGTAACGGATTGGGGCTTGCAGTGGCTTGTAAACTTTAACTCCAACTAAACTCAGTTATTTACTGCAAACAACGATCTCAATATTGTCAACGTTCCTATATTAATGAATCACTGAATCCTAACTTGTGCTAACTTGTTCTTTATTTCTTCTTGGATTATCATTTACTACTGAACTTTTACAGAAACCATATATAAAATCGATTGCTAAATTAGCTTTCACTGAGGTTGTTATTTACAGCAAACAACGATCTCAATATTGTCAACATTCCTATATTAATGAATCACTGAATCCTAACTTGTGCTAACTTGTTCTTTATTTCTTCTTGGATTATCATTTACTACTGAACTTTTACAGAAACCATATATAAAATCAATTGCTAAATTAGCTTCCACTGAGGTTGTTTTGCTTTATTGTGCTTGCTATTTTTCCTACTTCTGATTCCATTCTCTAACTCTACAAATCTCTTATTCGTCCCGGTATGAAATACCTATATGAAATGTTGTCATATTCGGACTGGTTCTTCTAATGATGCTCTTTCTCTTCTAGACAACGTCCAAAAAATCATTGTAAAAGTTTCTCTTTATCTTCTGTCAACCGTTTCCTTGTTCTTTAACTCTTTTTTTTTCTTCTAATAACTCCCAAATCAATAGTGGTTGCTTGCAGCCTCATTGGGTTTGAATCAAAGTTTAATAATTGAAATTTTAACAAAATGACATTATTTTTATTAGTTATTTTATATTCTTTCTAGTTATTTTATTAGTTAGTTTTAACTAGTTAGTTTATAGTCAGGAGTTTTGTAATTGATATAATTAAAGGTTAGCAACTTTTATTAAAAGAAATTTTGTTTTTCTATTAATATTTTAATATTAAGAAAAAAAATTTTTTAAGCTCGCAGATATCTAAACCATTAAAAGATATTCAAAAAGAAATGAGAGATGTTCTTCGACAAATTGTTTCCTCTGTTACATTTTTACCGAATCTCCATGAAAAATGTAGGTTTTTTTTAATGATTTATTACTCAGTATTTAAACATTCAATTAACAATTTATTTTTATGTAATATCTACAGATACAGTACACATTGGTTTATTTCGCACTTTTTGTGGACATTTAACTATACTTAAGAAAAATCTTTTTATGCGGCATGGGAAAATAAAACATTTATGTTTTTAGCTCATTTTTTGAAGCTCAATCATTAAAAAATACTCCTGAGGGCATACCATAAATCTAGGACACCAAAACAACACACTGTAAAACACCCTAGAAATGTCAGTAAAAACTTTTTTTCAAATAGGTATACATGATCAATATTCATGTTTTTATTCATTAAAAACATTTCAAGTTTTATTTATTATAAATACTCTCATGTTCATCACCATGGTTGCACTATAACTCTTGGACACCAAAAGGGCACCTTAAAGCATGCAACTAAAAAGTGTTTCAGGATTCTTATATAATGTCATTATACAGTAGTCAGTAGATTTATCAGAAAACGAATGTTAGGTCGATTCAGGTTTTACATGGTTTGCTCAGGAGCTTTAATCATTTTATGAAGGTAGTTGTCCACATGGTGGTAGGTGTATTAACTTGTAAAAAATCGAGCTACAAGTTAATATCCGAGTTGAAACAGGAATAAAATGTTTTCCAGAATCCACTGGACAAGGGGGAAATACAACAACTGAAATGTTGTCAGAAAACATTTACATAATAATGTACCACGAAAGATAATTACAGATCACATATCAAATAAAACAGACCACAAGTTTTAAAAGTATGGCTTGCTTCTTTCCATGATTCTGAGAGCAATATCATCTAACAAAAAAATAATATTGAGCTACAGAAACAAATGTGTCAGGAGCTAAACAAATTGCTTCTACAAGAATTTTATTAGGTAAGTATAATTCCAAGGCTGCACAAAATTCTTAATCATAGCTGGGAGTCGATAGAAAAAAACGATTCCACTGGTTTGAAAACTTGAAAGGAAGAAAGAATGGAAGCTAATAATAAGCGTGTCAGATACTTCAGGGAAAAACTATCAAAAAAAATAATCAATTGGTCAATATAGAAGATTGCTTCAAAAGACTTAGGCTGGGGTCTGACCCATTAGTTTTAATATTAAAATATTAAAAATCAAATATTTTAAAAGTCCAAGTGGGGGGGGGGGGGACTAGGGGGTCCAAAATCCTATTAATAATATTAATAATAAAAGGGCAGAGGGGTCTTGACCCTTCACTTGCCAAATTTTTTGTATAAAATATAAATCTAGCATAAAATTTTCTAAATCTTAAAAAAATTGTATTATAATACTCATGGCATTGTTATAATTTTAGCAAATAAAAATAGATATAAATAGTTATTGTTGTGTTTGCTGAGAAATAAAAACTAAAAAGAGTCTTATTACAGTCCAAGATACTATTGAAAAACTGGTGCAGATGTATGTATACTCTAGATACATGAAAGAAATTGTAGCCTATCCTTCTTCTATATGTGGAAAATTTCAAAACTAATTTGTACATGCTTGCACAAAGAAAGAAACCACCAACCATATGGGCACAGAAGATAGAAATAGTTAGGTTTAAATTAATTGCATCTGTTAAAATTGAATTTTAAAATATCTGCTAAATTATAAAGATGTCAATTCTGTCATAAAAAGCTCAAATGTTAATTCTGAATACTTATTATTCAGATTGATTGGATTTCTAAGAAGCGCAAGTCTGACATTATTGCAATTGAGATTGATTAGAGCTCTTCTACCTCTCTAGAAAACACATTAAAGATCTGCTCTATATGTCTGTCAATAATAGGTAATATAAACAGAAGATTTTAAAATGTTACATGATATTGGTATAGTCTAATTTTCATGAACAATATTTATTTAGGTCGTGGCTTAGAGCACAATTGCTGCAAATCAACTGCTGTAAAAAACCTTACATCATTGGCATTGGAACAAAGTATGCACAGTGCAGAGCAGGTGGCTTCTTCAATAATCAAGGAAAAAATGAACAAAGAAAAAGTAAATTCAGGTGATCTATTTTATTTAGCCACTTGCGGAAAACCGAAGATAATAATAGTTTGTCGTCATGTGAACAAAGGAGACAGAAATCAAATCCAGCAAATCTCTTTTGAAACATTTAAGCAACTTCGACTCAATCTTGATCTTTCTGACAGAGGAACTAGAAAACTTATTTCTACTCTTAACAAGGCCACAGGAAAGAGAGTTGTCTAGTCAGAAATGACGAAGTTACTGTCAGACCTTGAATTAACTGTAATTATTACAGTGTTCAGTCCATGCAATTTGAAGTTGGGGATAAAAAGGTTGATAGGAACCTGGTTTTTGTAAAAGATTTTTCAGTGATGAACATTTTAAGTGAGAGAACTTTAAATCCTTATAATACCATTGTACGAGTTTCAATTGATGAAGGTGGATGGAGGAGGTTCATTGAAAATATGTGTTAACATCTTTGATGTAGATGAACTTAAAGTTAACAGTAATAATATAAAAAAAAGAAGTAAACGTCGGGGATATGACGAATATATTGTGTCTGGTGTGCAACGTATACAGTTTATTGCTATTGCTGAAGATGTTCCAGAAACATATTAGAATATAAAACAAATTTTAGATATTATCCAGCTGACAGCCTGAGTTTTCATAGTGCATGGGATTTAAAGTTGTCTAACATGATTATGGGTTTATCTGGCCATGGTGGCATCCATGCATGTTTATATTGTGAAAGTGAGAAAACTATAAATGCAGGAACTCTAAAAACATTCGGAAGCTTTGATCTTCATCTTTCAGAGTATCAAGCAGCAGGAGAAAAAAAAGAAACAGCACAACTGTACAAAAAAAAAGAAACAGCACAGCTGTACAAAAAAAAAGAAACAGCACAACTGTATAAAAATGTTATACGAAAAAGGCTTATTCATCTTGATGAAGATCCAGAAGTTAAAGTGATAAACAAAATTCCTTCATCATTGTTACATATATTTATGAGTTTTATTAATGTTCTCAGCGACCTAGTTTTTACTCTCTGTCCAAACTTTAATCAGTGGCTGTCTGGAAAATACATTTTCAGGCATGGCTATCATGGAGGAGGGTTTGATGGAGTGAACTGTAACAAGGTATTAAATAATCTTCAAGATCTAGAAGATGCATTCCTAAATGATTGTCGACAGCTAATACCTATTATAACATGTTTCAAAGATTTAAACTGTGTCGTGGATGACTGTTTCTGTGATTTCCTTAGTCCCAATGTCAAGCATTCTATTGCTAGATTGAAGGACTCATATAATTACCTAAAAAAGTTTTCAAAAGGCTATCATTACACCTTACCCATAACATGGAAGGTCCACATCATGTTAGCGCATATTGTTCCTTTTTATGAAGAAAATCAATGTGGTCTAGCCAGATATGCAAAACAAACTAGAGAAGCTATTCACTCTAAGTTGGGCAAGATACAAAAAAAAATGTAAGTCACAAAGACCACGGAGAAAACTTGCATAAGGCAGTTTCAGACTTCTTATCAAGACGAAGATAGTAACTTAAAGACAATATTAATTAACTTTATAAATACTATGCAGTAACTTAATTAAATAAAGATCTGTAAAAGTATTTAGCTTAATTTTCTATAAAATTTGTCTTCTACCTACAAATCACCGAGAGGCCGGATTTAGGTTCACTAAAATCAATGTTTGAAAAAAATAAAGATAAAAGATATATAAATTTAGCATAAAGTTATTAAAAAAATCAAGTGTATTTTGATGAATAAAGACATCATATATTATCATTATTATTCGGGGAAGATGGAAGGGAGAGGGATGTAAACAAAAAATTTATATATATTTCTTTTATGCTTATATATTTCTATCTTTTATTTATATTTTATATAAAAAATTTGGCAAGTGGAGGGTTAAGCCCCTTCTGCCCTCTTATTATTAATATTTTCAATAGGATTTTGGACCCCCCTCCTTGGATTTTTAAAATGTTTATTTATTAATATTCTAATAAATATCAACCTGAGGCTCGATTTATGACACAGTGTTATTGTTAAATAATAATTTTCCAAATTTTAGATCAATAACCTTTTTTTTTTCAATACTTTTTTTCGAGTATACTCAAAAACTCTGTTGGGTTTTAAATTTTTTTTTTTTTTTCCAAATTGTTGAATTTTGCATTGCCGTAACTTAAATATTTAAATAGACAAAAATTTTAATTTTTTTTTAAATTTAAATCTGTATGCCATTTAAATATACAAAAAATAAGTAAAATTTTAATTTTAAAACAATAGATATTTTACTCACGTCCGCCATTTAAACCACTGCTGTTTTGCGTTAATACTAATATTTTTATGGTATTATTTTATAGGCATGTTCAACATTCTCGCTTACACAGATTTAGATTGTACTGTACCTGCTGCCTGGGAAGACGGATGCGAGCATGTTATCGAAGGTGCTCAACAAGTAAAACTCAAGACAGTAAACACATTGTTACACAAAGTTGACTTAGAAGTCTGTTACAAAACGACTTGAATAATTTTAAACAAACGTTGGGGTAATTTTGAATCAAGTTATACTTTTAGTTGACAAAAAAGAAAATAATAACCGTTGATTTGTGAAAAAAAAAAGATTACTGTTCAACCAATAATCATTATCATGTTCATATTGGAAAAATTAAAATAATTCAAATATGCTTAAGGCTGAAAAGAACTTTTAGATCTTTGATTAACTTATTTGAAAAGAATAAGTTACTTTTTGTTATCATTTTTATTTTATAAAAGACTCAAATAAAAATTCATAAGAATTTTTTGTTTCGAATCGAATCAATAATATTTTATGATTCTTTTGTATTCTAAGTTTTTTATAACAATTTAAAGTGTTCATATTTATATTTTTCGAATAGGATAAATGTATGTTCCTATCCTAATGTCAAGGGCTTTTCTTAATCTATGATCAACGTGATTTTATTATGACATTCTATTTGAAAGAGTACTTAAGTCCATCGACTTTTTAACTTATATTTAGTTTTTGACATAAATTGTTGTACAAAAAATAAGTTTAAGGTACTGTAAAAATTAAAAATTTAATCGATTTTATGAAATCTATTTTGTGCATTATCATTAAAAACTATTGAGTAAAGATTAAAAAGTATCGAATTGATTGCGCATGCGTCTAATTTTTAAGATAAAGCACAAGTACTCGGTGTAGTTAAGGTACTTTTAAAATATAATAGCATCTGTATGATATTTTGTTGACTACGACATATTTCCGTTAAATGGTCTGGTCTGTGAATTATGAAAAGACGAAAAATATTGAAATAAAAAATTTTGCGGTACATCAAATATTAATGTTAGTAGCGAAAAAATCCAGACCGAAGATTCTTTTTTTCTTTTTTTTAAATCATCTTAAAATCACAATTGCTCGTCCAAATTTGAATAAGATTTTATATTAATACGTTTTTTTTGGTGAAATGAACATTATAGTTAAACAAAATGATCTGTTCTGATCGTTTATTGGCAATTTTCCATAATTATAAGCTCTTTCTTGGTCGGAATTCTAGTATTTTTTGTGAAAACTGATAGAAATATTGTGTTTTGACAACTATATATAGTTAATATACGTCAAAACCGATTAGAACTAGGATCAGTAGTAAATTAAGGAACTTTTTCAAAAGATTTTAGCTAAATTCATGTTAATGCCGATGAGCGGAATTGAACTAAAGACTCCAAAATGGTGTTCTTTAGATTCACTATTACGGGTTGTAAAAAGGTTTAGAAAGTTATATAAAAAATAGAAAAGTTTCTCTAAATATTTTAAAAACCTTAAGCAAAAAAAACTATAATATTTAAAGATCTTGTTTGGACATAATATGTTGACAAAACCATGCTAATTCCAAATAAATGTATTCGTATATTTTGTAAATCGCCTTAACTACACCGAGTACTGACGTGAGCTAACTGTTTTGAATTTTCCAAAACATCGTAGAACGTTGTTTTAGAAGTTCCTCTAGAGTTTCAAATTTTCTTTATTTGTTTTGCAGTGTGGTCTAAACTTGTATATAAGCCAGTTGTTTAAGTAAGGACCGATTCTGCTTCATTAAATTAAGTTTAAATTAACTGATTAAGTTTTACTCATTAACTAACTAAACCAAAATTTTCAGGGTTTATTAACCAAAATTTTCAGGGTGTATAAAAATACAAAGTCGGGTATCATTCTTCATTTAGTTATGAGGCATGTATAACAACATTTACATTTTATTTCCCAAAAAAATTCGTTCCAGATGTGAATGTTTAAGTAGATGTTTGATTGAGGTAAACATTCTAGTCATACAAAACCTTCGGGAAAGTTTTATTGCGTTTTAACATCAATATCTTAAAATTTTTAATAAACGGTGAGCACAATAAGTCAGTTTTTTAAATAATGCGAATAAAACTAAAAAATCAATTTATTAAATAAAAAAAGTATTCTCTGATTGTCAAAAATCATGCTAGCCATCAGACTAAACGTATTCGTTTCTTTCAAATTCAAAATAAAATTCAAATTGCAAAATAAAATTCAAAATTTAAAAAAAAAGTTCCCTTTAGCAACTGTTGCTGTACAAATTATCTTAAAATAACCTTAGTAACTTAAGATGCTTGATAAGTTTATACTTAGATAATTTTTAAACTTAAAAGATTTATTATAAAATTTCTGTTAGTATTTCACTATTATCGAAGTAATGTAATTTTTTTTACTTATCTAAATTAAGTTAATAATAATTATATTTAATTGTTAGATGAGTTAAATATTAACAAAATCCATTCATTTTTATAGGTTTCTTATAAATATGTTCCATACTTATATATTTTCAAAAAATGTCTTATGACAGAGATCATCAACTCGCGAGCCATTTGCGACTTTTTTTAATCCAAATTGTCAAATCAAATGTATTCTAATATAGGTTTTACATATAATGGAATATTTACATACAGTACAAGTTCTTATTTTAAGTAAATATAATGAAAATTTAAAAAAACGTAAACAGTACAATACTTAAAAAAAAAACTTTATGGAATAATATCAAAGTAAGAAGTTTGATATATTTAAAAGTTATTTAATTTACTTTTATACATCTAACATGTAAGACTTTTATATACCTAATTAAGATATAGCAATAAAAGAAAAGTAGATCATTATAATATAAAGTAACAACATTACAAATAATATAGTAATAATACTAGGCAATAATATTAAAAAAACTTCAGTTATTGGTCAGGCCCGTAAGAACAAAAGTTATATTGATGTTCTCTCGATTAAGGGGCCCCGAAATAGTTTTAAGGACCTTTTTTTTAGTCATTTTTCAGTCAATTTTTTCGAATTTATATATTAGAAAAACTGTGTGTGGGGAGAGGGAGGGTGTCAAATGAGTCTGCTGCACCCCTCCCCCACCCCCACCCCCCGTTGCTGCGAGTTTTCTGATTAGAATGGAATAATCAACTGTATCAAAGGCTTTCTGGAGATCAATTTATTTCCAAAGCTGATCTAATATTTTTAGTTATATCAATTGAATGAATTATTGAATTATTGTTTCTAAACTCATATTGATTTTTATAAAAATACTTAAATTTCTACAGAAAGTTGTAGATTGTGCATAGCTTTCTCAAATAGTTTGCTTGTATTTGAGACAAGAAAAAATTGGGCGATAATTAGAGTAATTCTATAGAGAACATCTTTTATGTATTGGCTTCACTTTAACTATCTTGAAAAAATCTGGGAAAATGAGTTATTCATCATTATGGATAATTGCTTTAAGATTATGTTTGGAATATGTTAAAGTATAAATGTGGGAAGGTTGTTTGGGCCCAGACTTTTTTGTTTTAAAGATTCATTATGAGAATCGACACCTCAACTTCAGTCACTGGCTCAAAGAAAAAAATAACTTTCATTAGGATTTTTTTTAAAATCTCTAAAAAATATTTAATAAAATATTTAATAACATATTTAGGAATAATTTTTTTTGTTTATTAGATTCTCTTGGGTAGCAGCAAAGTAATTGTTAAAAAAAGGCTGCATTGTAATAACGTTTCATCGGCCCATAAACTGACTGATCAAATGGCTGCAGCTAAATCTAAACACACAATTGAAACATGGCTCTAATGGTTCTCAAGAAATAAAAGCACTGGGTTAGCTGGTAAATATTTAACATTTTAAATAAGATGTTTCATCTATTCTAAAAAGTTGCAAAATTCATCCCACCTGACCACCATTTATTATACTTCCTTTGAAATAAACTCTTGAAAAAAAAAAGAAAAAAAAAGAGGGATTTAGTTTCCTTCTGCATTAACTGAACAACAACCTGTTACCAATGTATTTCTTTCTGCTGAAGTTATCCAAATTGTTTAACTCCTTTGCCAGCTTTAAAATTACTTTAACTGGTTTTTGAACAATTGTGAAACCTGTCTCATCAACATTATAAATATTTTGTGGTTGAAAACTTGTGTTGTAAACGAGCATCTTTTAAACTGGTAAAAAATTCTGCAACTATATAGCATTTAAAAGCAGTTGCTCGTGCCATACTAGTAGCTTCTGGATTTTGTAAAGATAACTCATTCCTGCGTAACATAAAACTACAAAGCAAAATCGCTTCACAAGTTATTATTATTATTGTTATTATTATTTATTTTTCGTCATTTGACACATTTTACAATGTTAACCTTACATTCAAATAAATTTATACAATTACAAGCTGACTGGGGCAAGTAGAAGACAAAATGTCTTATCATCAAGCCCCTTCGTAGAAATAGAAAAAATAAAATACAATTTTACAACTTCAAACTAATATAAAAAAGAGTGAAATTAAAAAAAGTTCAAAAAAACAAATTAAAAAGTTTGAAAAAATTAAAAAGTTTTTAAAATAATTTTTAAGTTTGACAAAACTAAAAAGTTTGAAAATAATAATAAAAAAAAAAGTTTTAAAAGTTATAAAAAATAAATACATATGCATAGACATATCCAATAAACCTCATAATATATATTTAAATATACAAAAGATATTTTGAATTTAAAAAGATTACAAACATATTATAGATTTAAATTTATCTACTGATATATTTTTTAAAACAAATGCTAAATCTCTTCTAAAAAGCATGAGGATACTTGATATTTATGAACTAAATATTTTGAAAATTACACAATTTATATTTCAACATCAGTCAAAAAAAATGCCGAAGGCTTTCGAAAATATTTTCCCTATAACATTAAACCGATGCAACATACGATCTACCGGAAGATTTAAAAAACCTTTCCGTACATCAAAACTTACGAGCCAATGGTATGGAACCATTTTACTAGCCTGAGTGTTAAACTTAAAGAAGCCATCACCTCTAAAAAATTTAAAAAGAACATAATCGAACTTATTACCAATCAAGATTCTTTACATGATTTTTTTTAACAATACACTTTTATTTCCAATTTTTTTTTACCAATGGTTACTGATAAGATTTTATCTTCTTCAGGTTCTCCGATCTCGTAACTATTTATTTTATTTATTTATTCAAAACTTTATTTTCAGTTGATTGTTTACAATAGTTTTATAATCAACAAAAACTAATTAAAATCAACACACTAAACTGTATAAGACAATACAAACAAACATACATATCGTGAATAAAAAATAAATAAAATAAAATAAAAATAACTTACATAGCAAATAATGTAAATGTCAATAAATAGAACAAGTTGGTTATTAAAAAAATAAAAAAAGTTATTTTTGACAGATTTACAGAAATAAGAATTTCAGTGATACTTTTCAAAATAC